AGAGCGATAATCGGTCGCCGCGTTTGTGGCAATCGTCGTGATTTCTCACTCACCACGTGGAGGCTGCTGCCAATCTTCTTACTCGTGTGCATAAACCACGGGAAAACCATGGAAGAGTTTGCATGTTCTCAGACTCTTTTTGGCTTATTTGGTGGTTTCGTGTCGCCGGCGAAGGTCGGGTGGGAACCCGAAACGTCGCGACCTCCCCGTGAGCCTGGGCGAGCCGAGGGAGCTGGGAGACTACACGAGACGAGGCTCCGTCTGTCTCAGTGCCGTGCGGGACGCTGGTGGCAGCCACACTCGTGGTGTTACATTTGGCGCTAGTTGAGACCTGCAGGCTCGGCAAACCTGCTGTTCTGGAGCAGCATGCGGCTCTTTTAAAGTACTGCCTCGTGACGATTTTTATCCAGGACCACCGTTTTCTCACCCCCCCCCTCGCCTGCTCTGATGAGTCCGGTGTGCCTGACGTCGATGCAACTGGTAATTCCGTCCAGAATGTCAGGATGTTGCAGTGTATGTGAGGATGTGGAATAAAAAATATATTTCGTAAACTAAAAGGACCACCGTCTCGTATTCACATTGCATTGCGGCTCTTGAAATATTGAGGATTTTTTTTCCTTCCGAATTTGAAACAAATGGCTAATTGTTATTTTTGTTACCGACGCCTGGGTAATTAACTTATCTTATCCGTAATAGTGCAGACATAATATGGTGTGAGCGAGAGACTCAACATTAATATTGTTGTGTGGCGTGGGAGGGCGTAAATCCTCGCCACACATGCACAGTAAGGAGTTGCCCAATGCTGTACATGCATGGGAGGATACATTGTTTTGGACATGTCACTGTAAGATTATTTTAAGGGTCCGTTGTTGGGTCTTTTTGAATTTGTGATTTTAAAAATTGCCTGTCACCTCAATACGACTGTACCATTAAAACCACAGCGTGGCCTTTAAGCCCCCGATGCACTACGAGTCTCGTGCGAGCGTCGCTTGGAGTCCTCCTTGGCTTCCACCACCCCAGCCAACCGATCCAGGAACCCGGCGACTCCCACGTTGGGACTTTTTCAAAAGACGTGCGCGGTGCTCCGGACGTCTTTGGAAGACGATGCGGCGACAAGGAGTGGCCCGATCTCGGCACAGCAGCGCTCACGAGTTCGAGAGACAAAATTGCACGGTGAATAATTATTTGCACCGCGAATGTAAGAGAAGCAACATTTATTTTCGTTTGTATTGAATGAATGAAATGTCAAAGGGAAAACTCGGTTCACTGAAATATAAAAGGTTCAGCTTAACACGTAGGCTTTCGCAACCAATAATTCGTAATAAAAGGTTTTTGGGTTAGCTCGCGTAAGTATACATGTGTCGCAATTCTCCACCGCACATAAACAACACACACCAACAAGTTACTACTTCAGCCCACCGGTGTGTTGGAGAGTAAATCCACCGGTGGGCTGAAGTAGTAACTAATTGACACTTTTTGTTTTACGTGACAAACATTACTGGCTGTGTCGGGTGGTGGAGGGTTACGACAGATTTACCAAACAACTTTATTAGGCATAAAAGGTTCACTGAGATATAGTTAAACACGTCTGCCCTTCTTCGGCTTACAAAAAGAGTGCACGGCCTCTCAACAGCAGTATTCCTTTCCAGTACTCTAAGCTGAGGTCTCCAGTCCGAACTGCGTGCAGGAATTGCCAACTACGCCCATGATGGGGTATTCGAATCTTTGGGAATAGGAGGATAGAGTTTCCCGGCCGAGATCAATAATAATCAACTGCATATATCAATCAGCATTGCAAACCTTACTGAAACATACACACGGATACAGAGCCTAACCGTACGAAACAGGACATTGCGACTGAGAAATAAGCATAACAAAAAACAAATTGGGACATTTACCATGGGAACACACACATCACAAATGAAATAATTTAACTTCTAAAAGTGCAGGCCTGAAATGGCTACAACAGGCGGTTTCACGGGCAGGAGCTTTTAGCGAACCGTTCGAACAGCTACCACGTAAAAGTGCGGCCCTGCAAATTCTCGTCCACTGTCACTGCTGCCAGAATGGCCTCAAACTCGAGGGAGCTCTCGAGCAGCAGTCGGGCAACCTGCGGCTGTCTTTGAGTGACCGCTTCGTGACCGTTATTTATGAAAGGGCCCACCGGTCTCGTATTCACCACAGTGCATTTCGGCTCTTCACATTATTGAGTTTTTTTCTCTTCACAGGACTGTGCTGAAATGGACAAAATGCAGGATTCTCGAGGTAAATAACCGACATTATAAACACATGCAAGTGTAAATAATCGTCACTATATACACTGATTATGAAAAAAATGTGTATAAAAAACCCCTATACAAATAAAAAAAAGCCTTCAGTTTAAAAGCAAAAATACGCATCGTGTTTGTGCGAAGGTGGCAACAAAACGGGCTCCTGGAAATTCTTGCAAGGAGCAGGAATATACATTCTGAGCAGCATAAGCGTTTAACTTGTTGTAACTGTGCATTTATTGTACGCGATAGATGACGAGAGATTTTATTTATTAACTTGGCGGGATGGTCCCAATTAGGGGCCATGCATGGAGCTGGGGAGGGTTAACCCAAATGCGTACGCTTGCGTATGGGGGGGGGGGGGGGTGAAGCCTCGATACTAATTTGTCTACATTGGCCTTCAAATGAGTTAGATAGTCCGGCGGTGGACTATCTGTTTGCTTTAACGCGTTAATATTATTCATCCTTGATCGTTTCTGCGTGGATTAAATATCGGCCGTTCTATAGGATTCGGGGGGGGGGGGGGTGCGTCAGGCGTGCGTACGCAGGTGGGGGGGGGGGTGTAAAAAGTTCGCGTGCGTACAGGGAGGGGTGGGGGGTCAAGTTTTGACAGACTTCTGCGGTCCTACTCAATGGATGGCCCCTGAGCAGTTGGGCGAAATCTGCACGGGCGTCCGTCACGCGACGGTTGCGATGTTGTCACAAGAGGACAGATCGTGGTGACGATCAAGGCTACGTAACAGCGTCACGCGTTACAGGAGTTAGTAGAACACCGGGTTAGAGCGCTTCACATCTCAACACATTTGAACGGGCACCCCCAGTGGCAGCTGTCCCTGTGGGCACAAAGTAGGCATTGGTCTGCCAGTAAGCGGGGCGACGATTGCCCCGCATGATCCCAATTGAGGAGTTGGCGGGCAGCTTTCGAATTTGGCAACTTTGGACCACGACGCCGGCCCAACGTTTGTGGGCAGCTTGCGAATAACGTCAGCGAACGTCAGCGAGCCCGATGCGAATAACGTCAGCGAGCCCGATGCGAATAACGTCAGCGAACGTCAGCGAGCCCGATGCGAATAACGTCAGCGAGCCCGATGCGAATAACGTCAGCGAGCCCGATGCGAATAACGTCAGCGAGCCCGATGCGAATAACGTCAGCGAGCCCGATGCGAATAACGTCAGCGAGCCCGATGCGAATAACGTCAGCGAGCCCGATGCGAATAACGTCAGCGAGCCCGATGCGAATAACGTCAGCGAGCCCGATGCGAATAACGTCAGCGAGCCCGATGCGAATAACGTCAGCGAGCCCGATGCGAATAACGTCAGCGAGCCCGACGTCCATCCGCGTGCGAGACGGTGTTAATCGGAGAAAATTTCATCAACAATAAAAGGAGGGCCTTGGGGGGGGGGGGGGGCGGGGGGGTGAAAGGAAAATAAATTCCTGTTCATAACCAAAACACCTCAGGGTCGGCCGGCCGCCGGATTCACGCCGTTAACGTCTACAACGAGCGGCGAAACCGCTGCCGCTGGGCCGCGTTTTAACCCCTCCCAAGCGTGAAGATGAAGCCGAGGAGAGTTCCCCACTTAAGACAAATGTCCTTTGAAGTTGTAAAAGCAACCCCACCCCCCCACCACGCCCTACGAGTTCTCATTGTGGAGCGTTTCTCTTTCTCTTGGACCGGTGAATTAAGAGGCGCTTGAATAAATTCAACCCTCTTACACACGTGGATGCATTTTCACCATTTGTAGGCGGCTCACAATTAAGCCTGTTTTCCCTCTTAGACTCTTTTCACACACATTCAACCCGTACATGTTTACCATACTTGACAACTGGACCGAGTTAAGCCGTAGGCTGCTGTAACACCGATATTCACAGCTAAGCTCGAAAAGAATATACCGATGAATTTTTTTTGCTTTGTTTTGAGCTTAAAAGGGTGTAAAATGCTGCAGCCAAACCGCTTACATCAGTAGGGTTGGCAACTACGCTACCATCTACTTGTATGATGTCTGCATGTATTACCGCTACATGCACCTGAAGACTTGCAAAACATACTGAAGATGAGGAATGTACTGGAATGAAACCTGATAACTCGCAAATATCACTGTTTGTTGTAGACATTCGTAGGTGGATGACGTGAGTGAATGGAGTTCATCGTAAGGGAGATTGAATAAAAACGATGAAATGTGGATTGTAAAGTGTTGCGATTAAATGAGTATAGTTTACATTTAATATAAGGTGATAAGGGGGCAATTCATCTTTAAATAAAGACGCCCCCCCCCTCTCATGTGCAACAAATTATTGTGCCAGCACTACGTGATGCGTTGTACCCCGAGCGTGCACACCGAATATACTTTGACGAAGCATCACACTTTTCCGCAGGAGCGATCGTTTTACGTAAAATGTACGAACAGCCACCGTCGCTGCCACTGGGTGACACGGCGTCTGCCACCATCACACACAAACACCGCACGACCACGGGTTAGGGGTCAGGGGTCACGGGAGCACTACCGTACACGACACGCAATCCGATGATTGAGTGGAGGACACTCTGATTGGATTGGTGTGGAGAAGGATTATATAAGGGCAGAAAAAGTCGAGAAGGTGATTGGCGGGATAGTGGCGAGATGGGCTATAAGAGGAGACTGAACCTTGACTTAAAGCTTTCGTGACTGCAGGAATTTTTTCTTCCTGATGACGAACGCTTGTGTTGCGATCGAAACGCCGTGGGTTTTTTTGTATTATTTTGTTTTTTTTTCTTCTAAACTATCCACGTGACTTTACGGAAAGACCCAAGAATATAAAGGAGACTGAGTTGGAGAGGTTGGGGTTGGCTTTGGATGACGAGTGGAAGTGTGAGCTGGCGTTGAGAATAAAAACCCTTCTCGACCAGCTCAAGCCTCCTCTTCACACGGATGAGAGACGGAGGCGGATACTGGGCGCGGGCTAAGGTTTGCTCAGCTCGGCCGCCGTATTCTTACTCAGGACGTATCGGTTCCCATTCGGCGCCGTGCATTTGGAGTCACCGTCAGGGACTGTCTTCATCGCCTTTGCGCGATCGTACTTAACGCACTCAAAACACGCCTGCTGTCTGCACAGCAGCACCCCTAAGACTAAGGCGGACAAGGCGGACAAGACAAAAAAGATCCACCCGGTCAACATCTCCTTGTGATAGCTGTTGCACGGGTTTCCTGTCTGCCGCTCCAGGTGGGTCACTTCTTCCTCTGCTCCTGCAAAGCGACAGGGTTCAGTGGAATGTGAAACCCGTCAACATCGCGCTTTCAGATTTAACATTTTGAACAACAGAGGAGGAATTACTCTGGGATGTTCATCAGTAGACAATATCAGTGAATGCTGTTTTTGTTTTGCTGCCTTTCCCAAGCTTGCATTTAGTGTCCGGCAGGAAATTATGTACTTATGCAATTTGTACTCATATCCATGATTAATATGTTTAGTGACTTACTGACCCGCCCCCCTTTCTGGACATCCGTGAAAAAGAGCTTCCTACAGCTCATTGAATTCCTCATGCAGTATAAATAAACATTCGCATTGGTTCTGAACGAGTTGACCATGAAAAGCAATGAAGGCGAACGGGCTTGGGCAGGACATCACCCGACGCGGCGATGGCCTCTGAAAGAGTGGCGACGGAGAGTGGAATCCAACAGAGAGAACACATGCGAGGTGACCACCACCGTGGAGATGCAAGAGGGAGATGAAGGTGCAGGGGGGAGGCCTTCATCCAGCAGTGGATCGACAATGGCTGATGATGATGATCAATGACAGAGGTCTGTTGGGCACACTAGCTTTAATGCCATCACACTTAACAATTATTCTATTTGGGTGAACATAAACTGTGAATCTATTTATTTCCCCTGATTAGCATTCCCAAGGCGAGGCATTTGGGGTCTCACCACCACAAGCCTGGGCATCTTCATGCGTCAGGTTCTGCAGCAGGCTCCTGCAAAACAACAAATGTTGACAATAATGTTGGTGTATCACTCGACAGCATTCCCTTTGTAACACCACCAAAATACCACAACCAGCACCACTACACTACGACCATCACATTCAGTTATAACAACAGTTGCCATTGTATACTAATTGGCGTAAATGTCACAACAGTGCTCGTGCCAGGATAGGTGCACTATGAAGCAACCTCGGCTTGACAGCTTGCCTGGGTAGGTGGCCTCAAAGTGCATTGTTGTACAGTGCCAGGTGCATTTTGAGAGATTTTGGAATATTGAAGGCTCGATGGCAGGAGGTTGGCTCTGAAATCACGCGTGTCATCACGCGTGTCATCACGCGTGTCATCACGCGTGTCATCACGCGTGTCATCACGCGTGTCATCAACTGCCAAAACCTCTTTTTCTATGTATGTTGAACTTATTTCGCACCGTACGTAGCCAACCGTGCTAATCGGACATGCGGGGGAAGGACAACAAACTAAACACAAAAAGCAGTGAGAAAGAAATTCGTTTAACATTTTTCTTTCATCTGAGGGGTATCGCCCAGGTTAAACCATCGGTTCCATCTGCTCACCGGTCCACGGCTCCGTGGCCACTCCCCTTGACTTGACCACTGCAACTCCCTATACCCGTGACCACTGGGGGTTGATGTTCGTCGCCTGGAGCTAGTGCAAAATGCGTCTGCCAGGTTATTGACTGGTACGTCTCGGACCGGTCAATAGGAACACCTGTTTAGATGATTTTGATTATTTGGCTGCGAACATTTCCATATGATTAGACACTTTGTTGAGCTATCATTTGTGGCCCGGTCCCATGTGAAAGAATAAGCTAATAGCTTCGTGAGCTTTATCTGGTGAAATAACAATAGTTTAGTTTTACTTATAAATATTTTTTTGTGATTTGTTGACCTTTCTCGTACTTTGCACTCCTGTCGTGTTTTTGTGCTGTTTGTTGTTGTGACGTTCTGACCCCGTGCTCCTACTGGACATCTGTGACAAAGCTCATCGGATTCCTCCTCCTGTGTTAATAAATATTCTGATTCTCAACTCCCTGTGACTCGGTGCACCGCGTTGCTGGCTGCCTGTGCGATGACTTTCAAGGTCGGTCTCTTCACCCACAAAGTTCCACTTGACCAGGGACCCCACCAGGGACCCCACCGTTACGTGAAGGTGGCGAAACTTCCCCAGGGTGCCACCGTGGCGATCTCGGACTCGTTCCTTTGCTCACACGGGCTCCTGCACCCGTGGAATTCCCTACTTCGTCACATAAAGGACCGCCCAGCCGTCCAAAGTAAAAAATAAAATGTTCCCTGTTCTGCCTGGCTTTCACAGATGAAAACAAAAGACATTCTACACGTTGCATGGTTGCAGATTAACCGAATCGCTATTTTAATTGCATGGGGATAACATTTGAATGGATCATTATTTTTACGTGCAGCTGTCTTGGTTTCAAGAAATTTGCCTTTAAAGAAATTAAGTTTGATTAATTAATTGACAGACCCAGGTGTTATGAATTCAGTTATTGCGATGTGGTGTATCTTCTCGGCACTCTGCTCACTGTGGGCATTGCTGCTCTTCCACCACTCATTTGATCGGGACGGTGGCTGCGTCAAACTGTCGAGCGGTGTGTTTTTCTGATCCTCCGACACACCACCACTCCCATCACCACCACAACCACCAGTGCCACATCACAACTAATGAACGAAAACTCGGCTGATCCTACAGGGGAGGTCAGGGGAAAGGTGGGGGGGGGGGTCACCGTGTGGAGTCCCCTGCTCGCACGGCCGTGCAGAGGGATCGCGATGTGTCCCAGGCGCAGAAGGGGTCTCGGGCCAGGAGGCAGCGCTCACAGCCCCCGTGCATGGCACAGCCGTGCAGAGACAGCTGGGCCACGCCTGAGGAGGCCGCCACGTACAGCATGCCCTGTACGCACAGCGCGGGCACAGCGCGCACAGCAGAACCAACACGTTCACCTACGGCCAGGATACACAGCACACACGTGGCACAGCCGTACAAGACAAGGCTGCCACGTACAGCGTGCCCTGTACACAGAGGCACACACACAAACAGCACCACCGCCAGCACGTGCATGCATGCGTACACACGGCAAGACAACACAGGACGTGATGATGGCAACAATGATCATCGTGATGGTGACGATGACGATGAGCTCGGACCGTTCTCTCCGCGTTCCCCCGGCGGTACCGTGCTGGCTGACACGACGATGCTGAGGATGGATTCGTTGTGAGCGAAGAGCTGGGTCTGTGAGACGATGTGAGTCTTCCCGTCCACACGCACCGCCTTGTGTAACGACCCGTTTCCTGGCACAGCGACACAGGCACGCGCGGTGAGGAGTCACGGCGGCTTTGGCAGTGATGGTCGTGATGAGGATGGTGGAGTTGGTGATGATGATGGCAGGGTTGGTGATGGTGGCGGTAATGGTAATGTTGGTGATAGTGAAGGAGGTGATGATGATGATGATGGTAGTGGTGACAGTGGTGATAGCTGTGATAGTGATGTGCTAATGGTGTTGGTGATGGAAGTTATGATGATGATGATGAAAGTGGTGTTTGCGATGGTGATGGTAGTGGTGATCCATGGCGATGCTCTATGGTTACGGTAGTAATTGTAGGGGTGTTGATGATCCATGGGGATTTTTTAAAGTGATGGATGCTGCGACGGCAGCCGGTGTTGGTGACGGTGGCGGTGATGTTGCCGACGAGAGCACCGCCGATGATCGTAACGTCGATGCCGGCGCCGCACTTACTGGTGCCCAGGTAGAGCACCAGGTGCGTGCGGTTGTCCAGCGCGGTTGCCGTGGCGGTCGCCACCCTCGTGTACGCGTGGCTGCGGCTCAGCAGCAGCGGGAGGCCTTCGCGAGGCCGCAGCGTCTCCTGCAGCCTCGGGTTGTCTTTGATCCACGCCAGGTATTCTTCCGGGAGGTCTTCGGACGAATTGATGCCGAGATGTCTCAGCTCAGGAGTGATGCACTGTCGCGCGGAGAGAGGGGGGCATGTGGGGAGGTCGTCTCAGTGCTCGTTTAATCAACATTTTTATTTGAGTCTAGGTCTCAATCCACGACAAATGGTGGAATTTGTCGAGTCTCAGTCCGTGCGTTTCATGCCGCCATTCCCTTCGTGCAGTCTACGAAAGCTGTCAAACGTGCGGTCCACTCTGATATTTTTTTAATGTTGGTGCGTGGGTCACGCAACTTCTACCCCCAGTATTGTCAAGTCAGCCAATCGGTGAACTCATTAAATGGTGTTAATATACGTATTTAGCCTTTTACTATGCTCGGTCTCTCTCGGTGCACCGCAGTCGATGAATGTCACTCAGTCATCTCGGTAGGCGTCTTCGTTCACACTCGCGAACTTCGTCTTCCCGGTCGTGGCTCTGGTCTCCGGTGAGCGGCGGCAGTCGTCGTAGTCGTCGTCACGCTCGACTCGCGGTCAGCGTCGACTCAAACAAACAAAACGTTGATGTTTAACACGTAGGCTTTCGCGACCAATATCATCCATAATAGAGGTTTTTTTGGGGTTAGATCGCGTAAATATATAAATGCGTCGTTAAACCCCGTCATCACCCGAGACAGCTAACTAGTAAGGGATGTCACTTAAACAGAACATGCCAATTCGTCACTAGTACAGCTGGCTGTCGCCTGATGAAGCTAGATGTAATTACTGGCGAAGCGTCGTACTCAGATTGTGAATGTTGTGGCTTGGCTCTCCAGCACACCGGTGTAGTGCTGTACTAGTGACGAATTGGCCACGTTCTGTTTACGTGACATCCCTTACTAGTTGGCTGTGTCGGGTGGTGGCGGGTTCAACGACAAATCGTTGATGGATATTTTCGTCACTCATTTCGTAAACGTAATGAACGCCGCGAGAGCCGTGGCTGAGGAGGAGGCGGGGCGAGCGGTGACCCCACTCGCTCCCCGCCGCGTAGGGAGATCGCGGCGGCAGTGGCGAGCTTACCGTGCCGGGGCTCAGAGCGACGGTTCTGGTGGAGCCTGCCGGCCCGATGGTGAACGGTCTTTTAGGCGGCCGAGCGAAGGCCTCCTCCACGTCGCTCAGCGTGTACTCGCAGACGGCCGAGTACGGGAGGGCTCCCCTGCAGGGAAACAGAGACGGCTGCTGGGACATGCAAGGAGAGACACTGGGGGGTGAGGGGCAGTGCAGGGAGAGACACTGGGGGGCGAGGGGCAGTGCAGGGAGAGACACTGGGGGGTGAGGGGCAGTGCAGGGAGAGACACTGGGGGGTGAGGGGCAGTGCAGGGAGAGACACTGGGGGGTGAGGGGCAGTGCAGGGAGAGACACTGGGGGCGAGGGGCAGTGCAGGGAGGGACACTGGGGGCGAGGGGCAGTGCAGGGAGAGACACTGGGGGGTGAGGGGCAGTGCAGGGAGAGACACTGGGGGGTGAGGGGCAGTGCAGGGAGGGACACTGGGGGCGAGGGGCAGTGCAGGGAGAGACACTGGGGGGCGAGGGGCAGTGCAGGGAGAGACACTGGGGGGCGAGGGGCAGTGCAGGGAGAGACACTGGGGGGTGAGGGGCAGTGCAGGGAGAGACACTGGGGGGTGAGGGGCAGTGCAGGGAGAGACACTGGGGGGTGAGGGGCAGTGCAGGGAGAGACACTGGGGGGTGAGGGGCAGTGCAGGGAGAGACACTGGGGGGTGAGGGGCAGTGCAGGGAGAGACACTGGGGGGTGAGGGGCAGTGCAGGGAGAGACACTGGGGGGTGAGGGGCAGTGCAGGGAGAGACACTGGGGGGTGAGGGGCAGTGCAGGGAGAGACACTGGGGGGCGAGGGGCAGTGCAGGGAGGGACACTGGGGGGTGAGGGGCAGTGCAGGGAGAGACACTGGGGGGCGAGGGGCAGTGCAGGGAGAGACACTGGGGGGTGAGGGGCAGTGCAGGGAGAGACACTGGGGGGTGAGGGGCAGTGCAGGGAGGGACACTGGGGGGTGAGGGGCAGTGCAGGGAGAGACACTGGGGGGCGAGGGGCAGTGCAGGGAGAGACACTGGGGGGTGAGGGGCAGTGCAGGGAGAGACACTGGGGGGCGAGGGGCAGTGCAGGGAGAGACACTGGGGGGCGAGGGGCAGTGCAGGGAGAGACACTGGGGGGCGAGGGGCAGTGCAGTGGTTCTGGACCCACGGCTCTCAGCAAGTTGGATCTCGAGTCCAGGGACAATGGTGGCAGCACCAGGGTGTCGTGGCACCGGGGGAGACACATCGCCGCAACGCGACTCACCACTGCAAGGAGAGCAGGGCGTAGAAGCGCGTGTCTTCACGCCTGTCCCCGGAGCGCAGCGGACGCAGGGTGGAGACGTCGTGCAGGATGCTGAACGGCAGCTGCAGGTCGGCCACTGAGCACTCGAGCTGCAGCTTCACGAAGGAGGTCCACTTATTCTGCAGCATGTGGCGCCCCCCCTTGTCGTCCTGCACGCAGCTCGTGGCAAAGCCAAACAGCGACCTCCCCGTCCGTCAAAGCGAAGTGAACGTGACCCTTTCCCATTGCGATGACGCACGTGTTCAGATTTCTCCGGTATAAATAAATAAGTCATCGGAACGGAATCGGAAGTAAAAGGCCACGCAGGACAGCGTGCGGCACAGATTGGCGCCAGCTATTGCAGAGAATGCGGTCGTGCTGATACAGTTCTGGGCGGTGAATAAAGTGTCTTTAAAAAGAAAGTGTCTTTAAAAATAATGGCGCTGCGCCTCTCTAAATAAAATTAACACCGAACCACTTGCACGTTCCGAGATTCAGCAGTCAACGGGACACCCACCCTGCAACTTGCAGACCCATCGGAACGGGAGAGGATTAAGTTGGATTTATCGATCATCGAGGACTCTCTTTAAATTGCCTCATCTTGACGATATTATTAATGTCCTCCTCATTATAGACTGACGCAGAGTGAATAAGTGAACGATTATAAAAGCCGTCTCGGGTGTGGACCAATCAATTTCAAAGACAGTGCATATCATTATCAGAGTTGTCTCTTTTTGTTTGCATTTTGACTGCTTGTGTTGTGGTTATTGCAAACATGATCCCTTGTAAAAAGGTGTCAGTTTTGGTGCCAGATAAAAGGGTAAAAACCTATTACTAGATTTTAACCGTTGTCTGGAAAGAGGTCACACGTATTGAATGTGCGAGCCACGGCTTCACAGCTGACGGTAGGGGTTGGCTCTATTGCGGTGTCCGTAGACTCTCCTTCGCAGGGGCTAGGACACACGCCTGTTTACGTCGTTACGAGCAGCCACCGCCTTTGTGAACTTGCACTTTTGTGCAGAATGCAAATACGTAACATTCCTATTCTTAGCTCTTTCGGTAAAGTCACGTTGAAGGGAAACAATATGAATTACTGCAGTCACGAAAGCTTTAAATCAAAACGTAACATTCCGCTTACAAACATCAGGATACGCCGGTTATAATCTTTAAAATTTAATTATTACATTGTATCATTCTCTCCGTGGGACCATGCCTGATAATCAGCTGCCATTGATGCTGTCCATCAAATTATAGGAAAGACAAATGAATACCATTGTCTGGCTTTTGTAGATAATGAAAAGGAATTTGATTTCGTGAGGAAGATTATGGCCGATTTCTCCCACCCTGGACACTCTCTGTTTCAGCTACTCCCCTCCGGCAGAAGGCTTCGGTCCATCAGGACCAAAACCTCACGCCATAAAAACAGTTTCTTCCCATCTGCTGCTGGCCTGTTAAACAAGGCCAAGGGCTAACACTGTTTTTAACATTTGATCTACATAACGACACCTTGCCGATATTAACTATGTTACCCTATTTGTATTTTTTATTTTTAAATTATATCTTAAAGCTATTTTATATTCGATATTTATTTAATTTTATATACTTCAGCCCCTTGGTGTTAGACTTTTAACCCTTATTATAGTAAGACTTGTTTAAAACTTATTTAAGATTTTAGATTCCTTTATGTTGAATGTATGCACCATCCTGCCAAAGTAAATTCCGTGTCGGTGTGAACTTACATGGCGAATAAAACCCTTTCTGATTCTGATTCTAAACTATACAATTTTTTTTTATTTTACCAGGAGAGCCCCATTCACCTACAGTGAGGGAAATAAGTATTTGACCCCTCTGCAAAACATGAATTAGGACTTGGTGGCAAAACCCTTGTTGGCAATCACAGAGGTCAGACGTTTCTTGTAGTTGGCCACCAGGTTTGCACACATCTCAGGAGGGATTTTGTCCCACTCCTCTTTGCAGATCTTCTCCAAGTCATTAAGGTTTCGAGGCTGACGTTTGGCAACTCGAACCTTCAGCTCCCTCTACAGATTTTCTATGGGATGAAGGTCTGGAGACTGGCTAGGCCACTCCAGGACCTTAATGTGCTTCTTCGTGAGCCACTCCTTTGTTGCCTTGGCCGTGTGTTTTGGGTCATTGTCATGCTGGAATACCCATCCACGACCCATTTTCAATGCCCTGGCTGAGGGAAGGAGGTTCTCACCCAATATTTGACGGTACATGGCCCCGTCCATCGTCCCTTTGATGCGGTGAAGTTGTCCTGTCCCCTTAGCAGAAAAACACCCCCAAAGCATAATGTTTCCACCTCCATGTTTGACGGTGGGGATGGTGTTCTTGGGGTCATAGGCAGCATTCCTCCTCCTCCAAACACGGCGAGTGGAGTTGATGCCAAAGAGCTCCATTTTGGTCTCATCTGACCACAACACTTTCACCCAGTTGTCCTCTGAATCATTCAGATGTTCATTGGCAAACTTCAGACGGGCATGTATATGTGCTTTCTTGAGCAGGGGGACCTTGCGGGCACTGCAGGATTTCAGTCCTTCACGGCGTAGTGTGTTACCAATTGTTTTCTTGGTGACTATGGTCCCAGCTGCCTTGAGATCATTGACAAGATCCTCCCGTGTAGTTCTGGGCTGATTCCTCACCGTTCTCATGATCATTGCAACTCCACGAGGTGAGATCTTGCATGGAGCCCCAGGCCGAGGTAGATTGACTTCTTTTGTGTTACTTCCATTTGCGAATAATCGCCCCAACTGCTGTCACCTTCTCACCAAGCTGCTTGGCAATGGTCTTGTAGCCCATTCCAGCCTTGTGTAGGTCTACAATCTTGTCCCTGACATCCTAGGAGAGCTCTTTGGTCTTGGCCATGGTGGAGAGTTTGGAATCTGATTGATTGCTTCTGTGGACAGGTGTCTTTTATACAGGTAACAAGCTGAGATTAGGAGCACTCCCTTTAAGAGTGTGCTCCTAATCTCAGCTCGTTACCTGTATAAAAGACACCTGGGAGCCAGAAATCTTTCTGATTGAGAGGGGGTCAAATACTTATTTCCCTCATTAAAATGCAAATCAATTCATAACATTTTTGACATGCGTTTTTCCGGATTTTGTTGTTGTTTCCCTTACTGTATATATGTATATACAGTGAGGGAAAAAAGTATTTGATCCCCTGCTGATTTTGTACGTTTGCCCACTAACAAAGAAATGATCAGTCTATAATTTTAATGGTAGGTTTATTTGAACAGTGAGAGAGCTCTTTTTCAGAAGCGACCTGGCCACAAGTGATAAACCAACGAAGTGGCTTATCGTGTGGACATTTATCGTAGCCAAATACTCTTAAACGCATGATGTTTATTCTAAATCTGGAGGGGAAAAACTGGAGGACCAGGAGAAAAATACGCGCGACCACGGAGAGAACACGCCAACTCCAAACATACAGACGTCAGGGTTGGGATCGAACCCACGACCTCCTGCATACCAGGTGAAGGAGTTAACATCTCGCCACCGTCGCGTATCATAAAAGTAGCCAGTATATCCATGCTTTCACAAACCAAAACCTTAATCAAGAATTAACCCTAAAAACTATCAAATCCTCGAATAAAACTGAAGAGGATTGTCATAGCAACACGATAACATATGTTCGAAAACTTGAAATGGAGAAATAAAGGTGTTAAGCTCGACGGTGAAAGTGTTTATCTTATATTTCACTTTACGTGTAGGTTTTCATCCATATTTGTCTCTGCTGATGAGACACTGCATTTTTAAATTAATTCCAGAGTTTGCATGTTTGGCAATAATGCTGCTGAGAATGTGCACTCAGAGAAGGCTGTGCAGTTCATGGTTCGTGTCAGAAATACCTTTTTTTTACGCAGAGAAACGGATATCTTCTTTGGTTCTTTCGGTAAAGTCACGTAGAATGAGAATAAAATAATAAAATAACACAATAAAATTCTCACGACGTTTCGGCCACAACGCAAGCGGCCGCTTGCGAGCGCTTGCGAGCGGCCGCTTGCGTTGTGGCCGAAACGTCGTGAGAATTTTATTGTGTTATTTTATTATCCTGTTATTTTATTACTTTATTCTCATTCTACGTGACCTTACCGAAAGAACCAAAGAAGATGAATCCTTGCAGTCACGAAAGCTTTAAATCGAAATTCAAATAGAAACGGATATGTGAAGGAGACATTGTCGGCTTCTTTATTTTTGGGTTGATAACGACAAGTCAATGCACCGACGAATGGACATGAAGCAGGATAATGAAGACGAAATGACGGATGACGATGAAGATGTTTACACCGAACCAACCGTGCAGACGCGAGCGACGCGTGCCACCCGCGGCTGGAAGATGTAGTCGTACTCCATGGCCGTCTCGGTGAAGAAGAAGTACACGTGGCGGCCGCCCCCTCCCTCGCCGGGCTCCACCACCTCCGAGGCCACGAAGGTGGGATCTGTAATGTAGAGCCCCCCGCGCCCGGGTTTAACGCCCGTACCCCTTCTCCACTGGCACATCCTGGCCAGCGTAAGGTCCTCATGGGACGAGTGACTTTCACCTGGCTATTTCCCCAAGCCAAGACAAAACCATGACACGCTGGACTCACAAAAAAATGATCGAATTCTGGGTCAGGGCCAGGCAGAGCCAGAGAATCAGAATATCAGAAAGAGAATATTCATTCAAATACTGGAGGAATCCAAAGAGCTATAAAGCTCTTTGCCACAGATGTCTAGGAGGGGTGGGTCCCAACGTTACAACAACAAAGAGTACTAAAACACGATAGGAGTGCACAGTATAGGAAAAGTGAGGAAATCACTTTTTTTTACTATTTTTATTTTAACAGGTAAAGCCCACTAACCTGTTAGCTTATTTTTCAAAAGCGACCTGGCTATCACAAATGAGAGCTCAACGAAGTGGCTGATCATGTGGACATTCATAGCAGCCACGGCTAATGACAAGTTAGTTGCTTGTGACGTCAATCAGAACGCTGGGATAGACAGGGTCACTTGGCCATGCACAGTAGTCTGTTGTCCTGTATGGATGTGAAAGCTCGAAAATTACACAGACCCTACAGAGATATGCATGAGACAAGAGGGGAACAGTGTGGGGGGGGGGGGGCATATCGAACTGCATTTTTTATATAGAAAAGCGATGTTTAACTCATAAATTACCATTGAGGGTAGCAGCGCTTTTCTCTATCATAAACATTCTATGAGATCCATCTGCCCGGAAGATGCTGTTTTGCTTTGCCTGGAAATCCTTGCTTGTCGCCAAGTACAGGCTGTTATCTGCAAAGAGTGGGCAGCAGTGAACGGGTACTTGGCACAAGACACGAGGCTCCCAACACAAACAACGCGGACCCGCTCATATGCGACCGACCCCGATTCATACACTTTGTGACTCGTACTTTCACTACACGCATGGGGCAGGAAGCCGAGTTACATCACCCCCGCCCGCCATCACGCGGACGTGGATTTGACGGCAGAGTGTAATTATCGCCCATGCAAGAAACGAGTCCAAAATAATATTGCGTGCCATCCGACCAGGATGCCACCGATGATTAGTGGAATCATTTAAAATGTTTCTCATTGGTGCTTGAACATCTTAACACCTCCATGTGATTGCCAGAAAGGGTCAAACCTATTCTTCTTTTTTCACACTTTGATACTGGGAAAAAAAAGATCGCACAGATAGAGCAATTGTACTCTCACGGCAAACCCAGTGACGGTAGCGCCACCAGGTGGACATAGCAGGCCGTCGTCAGAGGCAGGTCAATCAAGCTTGACTGCAGATTCCTGCAGGGATGGCATCCACACTAAAATCCAGGCACATCTGCACATAAGTCCGGGCATCTACTTCAGAACACATACATGTGCCGTAAAATGTGAATGAAAACAAGTTACAAGAATTTAAAAAACAACTATTTGGACTAACTCTTAACAATTTCCCCCCAAAAAAGGATAATTTAAGAATTTAAATTGCACTTACATTTTAAATAAAAGAGAATTGTAATGTAATTTGTGACCCGCTCGTACTGGACACCTGTAAAAAAGAGCTTCATAGCCCATGGGTTTCCTTTAGCCTTCAAAATGATTCTGACTAGATTGGACAAAAAGAGAGCAGTGGCAAAGAGTAACTTTAGCGGCAACCCGAATTTGCCGCTCAGTCAGGAGGCTCGGTATCACTCACTGATGAGCACGGATATGCATGGGTTCGCGGGGTCGTACACGAACTTGCTGATCATTTCCACTGTGCTGAGCTTTGTGCCATTGTCAGGGTCCTGCAAATGGAGAGAGTGATGGGCACGCATACATGTCAATCCTTTATCAGTGCCCTGCCTTATTACAGACCAATTCAAACCGTATTGGTCACCCCGTACCCTTATAAATCTCAACGTTCATCCTACAATGTCCCATCACAAGGGAGAAACACAAACAAATAGACAAAAACATGTTTTTTTTACTCAATCTCTCTGTACAAGACCACAGGGTAAACCGAATGGTGTTTCCCTCCACATTTAGAAACATGCGTTTAGAGTATACGGCTGCTATACATGTTTGGTAGCATTATCTCAGCAGTGTGTTTTTTTTCAGCCGTGTGTGGGTAAGTAGGCACGCGCATGCATGCAGGCAGACGGGGGGGGGGGGGGGTGCCCGGAGGTTCCCACTCACAAAGTGCGCGCACAAAGGGCTGAAGGCGCCGGTGCCGCAGGCCAGCAGGCGCGAGCCGTTGAGGTGCAGCGCCCGCACGTGGTTGTGGCACTCGTCCTGCGGGAACACCAGCACGGCGTGCGTGGCTCAGACCGACCGGCGTGGCTCAGACCGACCGGCGTGGCTCAGACCGACCGGCGTGGCTCAACGGTGGCGTCACGTAGACATTAAAAAAACACGGGGGTGGTGTAATTTCCACGTCGATTCTGCGTGTTGTTTCTAATCATGATAGAAGTACTGTAATTCTTATGACGTTGTTGATGAAGCTTCTTCACTCTCCGTGATTTTGGGTTTTGGTCATAACCAGAAATGCCGTTATGGTGCAACGATGAACAAACTGGCCTGACAATTCAGAAAACACAACACATTTGTCAATGGCCTTAAAAGAAAAAAAATAATCGTGATGTTTCAAACAATGTACCTTCTTTACAGCATACACATAGAGAGCACTGACCAATACATTACTTTTCCCCCCTGCTTTAGCACGGTCATTTCAAATAATAAAACAATGCTAAATATATGTTACGTATAATCGCAAACACTTTTATACAAGAGTGTGTTTTCGTCACGCATACCGTTTGGGAGATTGAAAGCGTGACGGACAGACACTTGTGAATCATATATACATAGATCTATACAGTAGATGTGTGTGTGTATATATAGACGATTCTCGCCGGGTTACTTCTGCAACGCAGTTCAGTTAAAATTGTCACTTCCACCACAGGGTTCCGGCCAATTTCCACCCCATAAGCCACCTGCATCGTGTAAGATGTTTGTTTCGTGAATGGCTATAACCTTTCATGCTTTACAGAATTACATAGAGCCCAAATGTTCAATTACAGTAATGCTCCGATTTAAGCCCTCCCGTGGTACGTACTTTCGCTATAACATACAGTAGGACCCCTCTTCACGACGGCAATTTGGTTCCACGAAAAGCGATTTTAGGAATTACACGTCAAAGACTTAATTCGTTCTGATGGCATCGAAAGTTACTTCTTTTTTGCCACAAAAAAGTACCTGATAATATTTAAACAATGTATATGAATACATAAAGATAGCAAACAACATTACAAGCACATGGTATTCAAATAAACACTTTTAATTATAAGAATAGGTTTTACCCTTTTAACTGGCACAAAAACTGACACCTTTATTCAAGGCATCATGTTTGCAATAACCACAACACAAGCAGTCAAAATGCAAACAAAAAAGACAACTCTGATAATATTATGCACTGTCCTTGAATTCGATTGGTCCACACCCGAGACAGCTTTTCTTAGAGCCTAGTCTCCATTGGTGTTGGACCAGAAGACGCCAAAAGGCGTACAACTAAAAAACAGCGCACTATCAGAGTATTGAGGGCTCGGGGTGAGCATTAACATTATGAGACCTCCTTTGCCAGAAACAAGATATAAGAATAGGTTTTACCCTTTTAACTGGCACAAAAACTGACACCTTTATTCAAGGCATCATGTTTGCAATAACCACAACACAAGCAGTCAAAATGCAAACAAAAAAGATAAGGGCCACGGGGTGACCAGTAAGCTCTGAATTGGTCTCTAATAAGCTCGGGCACTGATGAGGGGTTGAGAGGTTTGCGTTCGTGCGGCAGGTGGAAGCAGTATCTGTGGTATGTACACATAGTACTCGATTCATAACCCCCCCACCCACATACCGCCTTTATTGCGACTATATTAACACAAGTGTAAACGGCTTTGTAAAAAATAATAAACGACTAATAAGAATACATATTGTATCATAAACACGGGAATGTATCTTGATGCATCGATAATATCCACTTTCCACACCAACGGTTGTACAGTACAGATGCACAATGGGTTATTGATCATCTTCTGTTTAGGGTTTGTACCAGGTTACGATCCAACATCTCTCATGGCAGGTAGGACCTACTACTACCTACAATTACTAGATACTACCTGCAACTACTAGATACTACGAGTACCTATTACTTGTAGCAGTACTATTACTAGCAGTTGTAGTAGTAGGTTCTTTGTCACGTTATGATCCACCATCCCATCTCCTTGCTTCGATTTACGCTCCGGTATTGGGGAACGCATCCTAGGTATGTATGCCTGGACATTGGAAGCTCTGTACAGACGTGTTGATGAATCTCAACAGATGTAGAAAGTCGGCGAGCAACTCACCACCGTCTTGCCTTTACCGATACATAATTGCCTGGAGGATTCTTCAACATCCCAAGAGATCTGTGGGCACACGGCAAAGAGCAGGGTCGTATTATCAAATATGCAGTGCCTGCAAGGGCCTAAGAAAACTAAAGGGCCTACAAAAACATTTTTAACCATTTTTTTCTTTGCATGATAAAACTTTTTTTTTTTACCAAAATATCTTCTTGAATACATATACTGTATTTATACTAGCTTGTTTGCCCGTCCAAGGACCGGTGTATTTTGCAGTAAATCTGAAATATTCAATAGAAAAATTGTTCAGCTCATGATTATTCATTAGGGCGGGTGGTAGCCCCAGCTGGAGTTACATCACCCGCTAAAGGTTATTGGGGAGGGGTGCGGCATGTGGACTCGGGGTGCAAAGCTGCAGTAAAGGTGAAGAACCACTGCCCTATAAGCAGTCGGCGGTGGAGCGGGGATAGTGGGGCTGAGTGGGGCGTGGGTGGAGCCGCAATACAGGAGGGTGGAGCTGTGATACAGGAGGGTGGAGCTGCGAGGGTGGAGCTGTGATACAGGAGGGTGGAGCTGTGATACAGGAGGGTGGAGCTGCGAGGGTGGAGCTGTGATACAGGAGGGTGGAGCTGTGATACAGGAGGGTGGAGCTGTGATACAGGAGGGTGGAGCTGTGATACAGGAGAGTGGAGCTGCGAGGGTGGAGCTGTGATACAGGAGGCTGGCGCTGCGAGGGTGGAGCTGCGATACAGGAGGTTGGAGCTGTGATACAGGAGGGTGGAGCTGCGATACAGGAGAGTGGAGCTGCGAGGGTGGAGCTGCGATACAGGAGGGTGGCGCTGCGAGGGTGGAGCTGCGATACAGGAGGGTGGAGCTGCGAGGGTGGAGCTGCGATACAGGAGGGTGGAGCCGCAACAGAGGGTGGAGCCGCTACAGGATGGAGCTGTGTGATGCGTTACAGGTGGAGCTGCGTTACCTCGAGGCTAGGATTCAAGCTGACGTTGGCGGCCGTGAGGCGCAGCACGGCTCCACGCGCCCCCACGAACAGAGCTCCACGCTCGGGTTCCAGCAGCAGCACCGAGGCAGCCAGGCCCGGCTTGAGGAAGCGCTCCACCCCCCAGCTTCGCAACTCTATGCACACGCAGCGGATATTTGGGTTAACTTCAGTTACATTTTGATTTAAAGCTTTCGTGACTGCAGGGATTCACGTTCTTGGTTCTTTCGGTAAAGCCACGTAGAAGGGAAACAATAAAGTAATAAATATATAAAACAATAGAATTATAACGACGTTTCGACTGCAACACAAGCAATCATCATCAGGTGTGAAAACCACCTTAAAAAAACCGCCACTTTTTCAAATTTTCTTGCTGTGGTTTTCACACCTGATGATGGTTGCTTGTGTTGCAGTCGTAACGTCGTGAGAATTTTATTGTTTTATATTTGTATTATTTTATTGTTTCCCTTCTACGTGACTTTACCGAAAGAACCAAGAATATTAACTTCAGTTGTTACACGCGTGAAGACCGAATGCGACAGACCACTTTGGGGCCGTCCATAAATGACGTCATGCACCTAAGGGGGGGGGGGTCAGACATTTGTGACGATGTGTGACGTCACATCAAAATGCGCAACTTTAAATAAATATAGACAACACGTTCTACTTAATTAAATAGACTTTTTAATAAATGTTTTCTCCTACAACATCAGAGTGCAGCGGCACATTAAATACGCACTAACAATGACAATAGTTTAAAGCGATATATATATTTTTTGGGGGGGGGGGGCTGAGCTTTGTGACGTCATATTTGAGGGGGGTCTGACTTTTTGTGACGCCGTGTGACGATGGGGGGGGGGGGTCAAAAAACGTTCAAAATCGCGTGACGTCATTTATGGACGGCCCCTTACCTGACATGGTGCACGCGCAAACGGACAGTCGGCAAGTGTGTCAAAGGCCTCGGATTGCTGCAGGGAGGCCTCAAAGGGGATTGGTCAGGGTCAGGGAATTAAACCGACGGGAGGAGAACTTCAAACGTAATAAGTAATGTTTAAAAATACTTTTTTTTAAACACTCTTTAATGAAATGTACCGTACGAGTAATGGAATAGCTCCAGGAAGTGGCCCCGAAGCTTGCCATAACGTAAGGGATTTACAGCCAACGTGAGTTGAGCGTGGACAATTAGACCCAAGCCGAAACATAACATATAAAAAAAGATTGATTAAAAATATATATTATTTTTAATGATATAATATAGTATTGTCATCAGTATGACATACGTATACCAAGTTTGCAGTCGAAACCACATTGGGAAGTGGGTTAAAATTGAGTTACAAGATTTGAGGATACAACAACAGACAGAGTTGAGGATACAACAGACAGAGTGAGTTAAATAAACGCGTCTAAATAATGATAAGAAGCGTGTAATAATAATAAAAAGCGTGTAATAATAATAAAGAGGCGGGGAAAGCGAGGGGTTGACTGTCAGTCGAACGGTTGACAACCGTGGTAGGGGGTCAGGGATTGGCTGAGGAAAATGGGGTGAGCGAATCTTCGAGAAAGGGGGCTTGAGAGATCTAAAAGGGGATCTCCTTCGTCGTATCTCCCGTCCAACCTCTATCATCTTTCCCTAATATTCTGCACAGGCCACCGTTTCTGGTGTTGGCATTGCCACAATCTTGAGTGCATTGTGGCGCTGACGACCACATTGTTCGTTCGCGCACAAGCCCCCCCCCCCCCCCCATGATTTCATGAGAGAGAGAGTTGCATCTGCCGAAAGCCACTCTCAGTCTGTTTAGGCTCCGCCATGCGAGCCATTTGGAATTGGGAGTCAGACGCGAGCTCCTCGCTGGGGACGAATTCTCCACCGGCTCCATTCAGCAGTAAAAGGGGACTGCAAGAAGGGGAAGAGACGGTTGGGAGAGAAGACGAAATTCGGGTAGCGTTCGTGTCTACGGCTATTTTCCGAGGGAGCTCCGTGGGTGCGTGAACGTAGCAGCAACGACACAACAAAGCAAGGCCGTAGCCATGGATTCAACATTGGGGGGGACCAACTCTTCCAGGGTGTCTGGGGGTCCCAACCCAGACAAATATCGACATTTGAAATCTCATTTCCTGCCTAAAATATTAAAAATTTCACTAACACATGGGATGGACTTTTTATTTTATTTTTTACAATAATGTCTAATAGTGCATTGTATTACATTGCTCTGTTTTTACTTTTTTACTATTTCTTGTTTCATTGTATGTAATGGCAGAGATTAGGGATTAATAAAGTACATCCGTAACCACAATCATGTAAACAGAAATCTACGCATTGATTTATATGAAGACAAGTTCAGATATTGTGGCCAAGGTTTAGCAAATTCTTGTTTTTATTTACATAGCATAACAATTTTTGTATAGCAATATATTGGGGGGGGGGGGGGGACATTTTGAGCATATTTTAATATTGCAACCGCCGGTTGTGTTACGCTTCTGTCAAAAAAAAGAAACCCAGCATGAAATTTTGAACGTGCACCACGAATGGGTGTATTAGACGTGGTCAACACCTATATTACACAGCATCTGTATCCCGTCTGCACCACAATCACGACTGCCAGTTTCACTGCAGATTTTGATCAACACGAGGCAACCCACGTGTTATTGGCAGTGTACTTGTAAAACCTTGCCCAATGCGGATTCACCGTATGCGTGTTTTCGGCGATTATTGTACACGGGCTAGCTCATGAGGTCTGTTTTCCGTAACGCTGGGGGTGATGTTCTGGCTCTATGTGGTTTGACGCCACTGAGATTCTCGTATCCGTGTTGAAAAGAAGTGCTGTGGGAGTGCTGCATCCGCTGGAAGGTGCGAATGCATCGAACCGTGAGCACAGTTTCTTTACCGTGTGCATTTTCCATGACAGAGGTTTTTGGGTTAGATCGCGTAAATATAAATGTGTCGCGAAACCTGTCACCACCGACACAGCCAATTATTAAGGTTTGTCACTAAGTTAAGGTTTGTCACTAATTGGCTGTGTCGGGTGGTGGCGGGTTTAATGACCTCTGTTTTAGATATTCGTCCCGAAAGCCTACGTTTTAAACCGTGTGTGTTTTGTGTGATTTTGTGTACAGTGAGGGGAAAAAGTATTTGATCCCCTGCTGATTTTGTACGTTTGCCCACGGGGTCGTGGATGGGTATTCCAGCATGACAATGACCCAAAACACACGGCCAAGGCAACAAAGGAGTGGCTCAAGAAGAAGCACATTAGGTCCTGGAGTGGCCTAGCCAGTCTCCGGACCTTAATCCCATAGAAAATCTGTGGAGGGAGCTGAAGGTTCGAGTTGCCAAACGTCAGCCTCGAACCTTAATGACTTGGAGAAGATCTGCAAAGAGGAGTGGGACAAAATCCCTCCTGAGATGTGTGCAAACCTGGTGGCCAACTACAAGAAACGTCTGACCTCTGTGATTGCCAACAAAGGTTTTGCCACCAAGTACTAAGTCATGTTTTGCAGAGGGGTCAAATACTTATTTCCTTCATTAAAATGCAAATAAATGTATAGCATTTTTGACATGCGTTTTTCTGGATTTTTTTGTTATTCTGTCTCTCACTGTTCAAATAAACCTACCATTAAAATTATAGACTGATCATTTCTTTGTCAGTGGGCAAACGTACAAAATCAGCAAGGGATCAAATACTTTTTTCCCTCACTGTATGTCTGTGTTATAATGTAACACACTCAACACGCACATTGATCACATCTCAGAGAAAATAAAAAATAAGGTTTTTATACAGAAACATTGTTTTCCCATTTGATTGCGCCTGCAAATTGTTGAAGCTATCATTCTACCATTTTTTGACGACTGTGGCACTGCTTAATGATCAGCTAATCATGACATTTTAAACAAACTAAACCCGCTTCATCATTCTACTCTTCGATTTGCACTTGTGTACCATACAGGACCCACCATTGCGACATCTACATAAAATGCAATCTCACATTACTGGATACAAGAAGAAAGCTACATTTGACCCTGTTCATCCATAAAATCCTTATTAGCAAATCTACACAATACGGGCAGTCCTCGGGTTACGAACCGAATTCGTAACTCGAACGGTTCATAAGTCGGAACACACAGTAATGCCAACGTTAATATGCTCATACGGTCAGCGTAATGCAATCCATATGGTTAAAAAAAATGAAGCATTTTTGAACTCATAATTAACAAGAAATGTTGTACATTTGCATGCAACACTGTAAAACATACTGAGAAGTAAATGAAATATTAAATAAAGTAATACATAGAAGAACAAGTTTTATTTTCATATACCTTGAGCCTTGATGCTAGCTTGTCGTCGGAAGGGGAGCAATAAGTCACCACAATTGCGCGCACACACGGGGCACGCGCGTGCACACAGACATACACACAGGAGCACGCACAACCAAGAAAAAAGATCCCCCGTATAGCCTTAACAGACTGTAGGGGCAAGTGCTGTTAGCGAGCACCTATGAAGGTCAGGATGGCACACGAGGGGGCGGGTGTTTCTATGCACCACACCAGGTATTCATTTGAGGCTGAATCGACCTAGGGGGAGCCCAAGACCGGTTCAGATAAACGTCACCGGTGTTGGCCGGGAGCGGAAATTGAACCCGAGTTGCACACACACGCAAACACTCACTCCTAGCACGAGGCCGACTCACTACACTTCGTAGAGGATCGCTCCTCTGAACAAAATAGTTCCGCGGTTCAGTTTGCAATTGTGAGTTCACGTATTAAGGTCAATGTTATTTTTAAAAAAATATTTCATGGAAGCTGGTTCGTAAGTACGGGCGTTCGTAAGTCGAGGACTTTCATTTGCCCCAATATAAAACCCAAGAAACCTAAGATATCTATCTAATTGCCTTTTAACTATCCCAAGAATAGAAATAGGTAATAAAAAAAAGCCTTTGCCGTTTTGGAACGAACTTATTTCCTCCCTTCACGTCGTAAATATTCCTTCACAAATACTCTAAAGCACACGATTTGGTGCCGGATAAAATTGCGTTTGAAAATGTGATTTGTAACTGTCATTCTTACCCATGGCCTCCGGGCGACGAAAGAAAACCGGGGGAGGCCAACAAACCCACCTGGCGAGGAACCGTCACCAAAGATCTT